GTAGGGAAATATTTAACTACAAACACGTATCTATGTTCACTGGCACTTTGCAGACAACTTGGGAAATTTCTAACCTCATGTTTGTGGAACTAAAAATTGCAGACTTATAAACTGACTTTTAAAAGGCAAAGGTTCAACATTTTGTTTATAGTTTATATTGCTCCTATGAGGTATAAAAGATGGTATTGGACATTTCAGTTCAGAAAGAAATGAGTTGGAAAGCCTGTACTAAGAAGGGACCAAGCAGAGACGGAATTTTGTGGAATAGGAAATTGGTGGAATGCTGGTAAAAGGCTGCTATAAAATCTGCCCCTTTTTCAGGTTATGTTTGAGGTTGAGACATAACATGACATAGTCAAAAACTTGCCTTAAAACTTTGATATAAATGCAAAATGCTGTGTTTACCTAATAAAGCTATGAGGCACAAAGACGTTACCTGAAAATGAAACAAAAGCAGCTACTGGTTATAAGTCGTCTTGTGTTTCTTTTTGATAGCCTGCTTATCAATCATCTTCTGCCTGCAGCTTCTAGCCCACAGCATTCTTTTCCCCCTCCCACTTCTCTGACCTGTACACATGACAATTCTTCTCTCCCTCTTTCTGTATACACAGTCATTGCTTACCACCCTCCTCTGGGCAAAACTTCCCCCTTGACGCTCTCTGGCTACTTTCTCTTCTTTATTTGAAACACCAGACTTTTATGTTCTTTCACTCCCTGAAGCCCTCCTTCTTTCTGTATTTCTCTGATGCCTGAATCTTCTTATTTTTAATTCCACATTACCTTTCCTTTCTTCTCAATGCCTTCAGTTTCCATATCCTTCAGCCTCCTCCTTCCCAGTCTTCTCCATCTAAGGGTGAAGTTATACATTACATTTAGCCCATACTAAATCTGTGGAAAGTTAAGCAGTATTAAAAATTGGAATGTGCTGTAAGCAGCCACACGCTAAAGGTTAATACCATTTCTGCACACCTCTGACTTGGCACACCTCTGACTTGGCATAGAGGGCTGACAAGCAGGGGTGTGGCTAGCAGCCAGGAAACCCATATCCCTGCTCTGGGGGCGTAGAGGCTGGGCACAGTGAATCCTAGGATGTTGGAGGACTACAAATTGTTCTTTTCATCTCTGTGAAGCCCACTGAAGTTACCTTAACATAACCTAGGTAGCACGGCTCAGAGTTAACCCTTGCCTTAAGTGGCATAACTTTGAAACACTTAGTGGGCACTTTGTACAAGTTAACAAGCTTTAATGTACAGATGTGCATGTTTTAAGTGCCCTTATTATGGCCTAAGCATAATGTATAACTTCATCCTGAGTTTCTTCTCTTGGGCCTTATTTTATCCCATTTGGTAAGTCTTCCTACCACATAAGTCATTCTTTCTGTGACATGTCTGATAACTGGAGGGGAAAAAAAGCAAGGCTAACAATCCCCCTCCTCCCTTTACTGCCCCCACCTTGCTCTACTCTGAAAAAGCAACCCCCTCCCCTACCTCCCAGATTTTCAAAGTACATAGTACTGTTGGATTTTGGTTTTCAAAACAGTATCTCACAGACAGCTGATATTTCCTTAATTGAAAAAGTCATACCTGTTGGGGTATATTAATATATATTATCACTAATATTTGTATTGCATTAATAATCACTAATCACTAAAATCAAGGTGGTATACAAGTAAGAGGTAGTACCTACCTGGATGAATTTATAATCCAAATAGTTAAGGCTGACAGCATGGAAGCAATAAACTAGTCTTCCCATTTTATTGTGAAATAATTGAAGTACAAAGAGATTGTAATTTTTCCAGCATCACATGAAATCTGTGATAGAGCTTGAAACTGAACTGAAACCTCCTGAGTCTTAGTCAAGCACTTTCATGGTGTTCATAATATTTTAATGTAAAAATATCCTACTTCTCAGTCCATCAGGTTGATGATAATTCTTAAGAGGACAAGAACTGAAAAAAATCAATACTGTTTCTCCCTAGGGCATCTAGGTGTTGGCCTCTTCAAATCCTTTTGTAAGCAATAGCTTTTAAACAGGTATTTCATACCACCTCTCACTGTTCAGCTGGAGAAAGATATCAGCAAACAAAATTAGGCAAGATTTCCAAAAGTGACCAGTAATGGCTTATTAATTAGACTGATACGAAAAAATTATGAAGGGTGTTCAAATTTCAGTGCCTGCTCTTTATTTGGTAGTTAGCAAAAAAATTAAAACATCCCTATACACAAACATCAAAATTGGCCTTGTCACTCAACCCACTCTACTGGCTCTACCCTCTTAGAATATTTTGAAGCTTTCCCAAGCTAGGCACCTAAAAGCTGTCCCAGTTTGTTGAGAATCTTGGCCACTCCTTTCTATTTTGTTACTCGAGTATTTAATTAAAAAATCAATATTAGCCTTCATAAAGCACGGAAGGAAAATATATTTAATTCTGAAAAGGTGTTCGGGGGGGGGGGGGGGGGGGGGAAGGGGGGGAGGATTGCTTAAGGAAATGTTCCATAGTAGCAAGATCCAAGTTTCATTCTAAGCTATTTAAATTCTCAAACGGAATAAAAGTAAAGTACTTAACAGTGATTTTATAAAAGCATGCAAGGGCTGTGAGAAAACAAGATAAGAGCCACTAACAATCCAAGGCCAAAGTGCTAGAGAGAGAAAAAGACACTTCAGATCAAAACATCAAATGTCGTGGTTGTAGTATAAAATCTTACAAATGGAACATAATTGGGCACAGACACAAGACAATCCCATAATAGTCTCCCCAATTACAACATCACAGTAGTTCTTACCAAGATATACAAAGCATGCAAGGACAAGTATGGCAAAAATTACTTCTTAGTTAAACCTCCAGCAAAATCAAGAATAAGACCCACAGCATCTTGATTGTTTCTCATCCACTTCTGATAGCAGCCTTAATTATGACATTTTGGAAGATGTCTTATTCCATCATAATAATTTTAAAATTTATTTTTGACTGAAAATACAAAGTTACCAAGGGAATAACAGCACTTTGAAGTACTTTAAAGTACTTCTGCATTTGTTAGGGAGGGCATGAAATTGGGGAGGGGAAGTTGAGGGAGATATGGAGAAGCAGGGAAGGAAAGGGAAGTTACTTACCACTAACTGGAGTTCTTCAGGGTGTTGTCCTTAAAGCAATCCAATTGATATCTCTCTCTCTGCTCTTGCCAAGGCTCAGAGTGCAGTCATATTGATATTGAGGACTGCGTGCATGGAGCATGGCAATGGAGTTGCAATAAAACTGTATCCTTTTCTCTCTCTCCAGGAAGTTGTGGTTGTACTCTTTGTCCTGGCATAAACCTCTCCCTCAGAGGTGTAAACATTACATTGTCCATATAAATGTTTCCAAAGCAGTGCCTATATAACCTGAAGGAAGGCTCTGGAATCCCAGGCAAACAACTGGAGAACTATTTCAGCATCCACTCCCAAAGTATTTATGATGGCATTGTGTTTACTGAAGGAGTGCATGGGGCTTCGAGTGACCACCTTGCACAAAATACAAAATGGAAACATTCTAAAAAAAGCCACTGAAGTCCTTGGGATTTGGTGAAATGGGCCCTGCTCACCACTGGGGAGATCATCTACCATAATGATCCTGTAGTACTATAAGAATGACAGAGACTAGAACCAAAAAAAAAAAAAAAAGGTGGGGTGGAGTGCGAGGTAAAAGGAGAAAATAAAAAGTAAAATAAAACTGTTCAGGAAGCAAAAAAACACTAAAAGTGGAAAACAGGTGGATTTTAAGGAATGGCTGCTAGGCAAAGCATATGCTTTGGAACAGACTGCAGAAACTCCCTTTCAAGCTAATGCATGCCTTTTCTATATAGATCAGGCATAAAGTGAAGAAACAAGACATATGAACACTGTATGGGTATTTGCTAGGGTAAAACATTGTGAGCTCTAGTGCCTGAAGACATCCACACCTACAATGGGATGTGCATACTATTGGGCACTTGGAGGAGAAACAGTAGCGAAGTGGCACAGGTGATGTGGAGGTACAGGGCAGCTCTGAAATATGTGGTTACTTGTCTTGCATTGTTTTAAAAACCTCAGTCTAGGTCCTTGCATGAAGGCAACCTGTCAGTGTTGATAGCCATCTATGTGAATAATTTAATATTTATTTATATTTATTAGAAATCGGGGAAATTGCCGTAAAAGTCTTGGTAAACTCAAGTCAAGGCTGAAGACTGAGTTATACAAGTTGTGTGAGATAGAAAGGCAACTGAGGATGAAAAGTTTTAAGAGTGGAGCATTTATATAGTGTTGAATGACTTACCTGATTATTTCATTGCCTTTTGTGACTTACACTGTGGGAAATTAATTTCTAGAAAAGATTTTTCATCTGTATTTCTCAGTATCTTTAGACACAATATTTTATTTTTATGGTTAGTTTGTTTATTTTTTTTAAATATCTGCAGATTAGATTCTAGATAGAAAACTGGTTGGATTGTCAGGCTCAAAGGGTAGTAATCAATGGCTCGATGCCTAATTGGCAGTCAGTATCAAGTGGAGTGCCCCAGGGTTTGGTCTTGGGGCCGGTTTTGTTCAATATCTTCATCAATGACCTGGAAGAATGAATGGAGTGCACCCTCAGCAAGTTTGCAGATGACACCAAGCTTTGGGGAGTAGTAGATATGCTGGAGGGTAAGGCGTAGGATTCAGAGAGACCTCAATAAATTGGAGAATTAGACCAAAAGAAATCTCCGAGGTTCAATAAGGAAGAGTGGAAATTCTGGCACCTAGGATGGATCAATTCTGTGCACCAGTACAAGCTAAGAACCAACTGGCTAAGCAGCAGCTCTGCAGAAAAGGAGCACAATAAGTTTAAGATGAGCCAACATTGTGTCTTTGTTGTGAAGAAAGATAATGCCATACTGGGCTGCATTAGTAGGAGCACTGCCAGCAGATTGGGGGAAGTGGTTATACCCCTCTATTCAACACTGGTGAGACCACATCTGGAGTACTGTGTCCACTGTTGTGCTCCCCTGTACAAAAAGGATGTTGACAAGTTGGAGAGTCCAGCAGGGGGCAACAAAATGGTTAGGGGACTGGGGCACATAACTTCTGAGGAGAGGCTGAGGGAACTGGGCTTATTTAGTCTGGAGAAGAGAAGATTGAGAGGGGATTTAGTAACAGCTTTCAGCTACCTGAACTGGTTGCAAAAAGGATGGAGCTAAACTGTTCTTAGTGATAGCAGATGACAGAACAAAGAGCAGTGTTCTCAAGTTGTAGCAAGGGAAGTTTAGGTTGGACATTAGGAAAAAACTCACCAGCAGGGTAGTAAAGCACTGGAACAGGTTAACCAGAGAGGTTGTGGGATCTCCATCCTTGGAAGTTTTTAAGACGCAGCTAGACAAGTCTTGGCTGGGATTGTATAGTTGGGGATCATCCTGCTTTGAGCAGGAAGTTTTATTTGATGACCTCCTGAGATACCTTACAACCCTCATTTTCTATGACTATGATTAATATTAGGCATCCAGCAATCCAGCTGGTTAGCATTTATTTCATTTGTATAGTATTTCTTAATAATGTTTCAACGATCATTATGACAAAAAAGTCTTATGTTTTGAATCATTATTCAAGTTATTTGGAATTCAAGAATGGCTCCATTAACTTTTTAAGAACTTGTTAACTAAAGGTTCTGTTCCTTGTAGGAATGTAATTGGTATGAACCTTCCACCAAAAGATAAAAAAACTTTTTAATAAAGTTAAGCCATTACAAACAAACATTCAAATAGCCAGACTGTTGTTTCACATGATATGGACCTAAGCAGAAGGAATAAGGCAGTCTAAAACTCTTTTAATTTTCTATGAGTTGCTCAATTTAGTATTTGCTTGTTGTGTTTTTCATTGTTTCTACTGGCTTTTCATTATCCGACACTGCATACAATATCCAAGAGCTCTGAAAATACTGCAATTGTTATGACTTTAATTAATAAAATCCCTAAAAGGTAGGGAAATCTTATTCCCATTCTCTGAATTAGTTTAACAGCAAAGTTTTTGTAAGGTAGTTAGGCACACAGCTCTCTCAGATTTCAGTGAGAGTTAGGCATCTAAATACCTTCAAAAATTGGTTTAAGATACTTGCCCAAAATCAGAGTCTGTGGCTGAGCCAGGAATTGAATGCAAAGAATCCAAGTCCCCACCCTAGTGCCCCAATTCTTTATTCAAATGATAGGATCTAGTAGGGTGGGGAGGCCACCGAAAGAAAGAGAAGGTTGTAAGAAGTTGAAACATTGCAGTGCAAAGCAAAAAACATTTCATTTCCTTACGCCCTGCTCACTCATACCCTTCAAGGACAACTGTTCTCTGTCAACCTTCTAATGCAATATTTTGATTATATAGGGATATAATTTCTGTGTCTTTTTTACTTTTATATATACTACAGAATTAAGGAAGTGACAGAATACTTAAGTTTGAATAAGGAGTTTCCAAGTTGAAAAGATTGAGAAATGCAGATCCAGAATGCCCTTCCTACCACTGCGTATTTATGCAGTGGGCCCCTCTTCCTAGTGCGAATACTTTGCTATGCAAGCAGATACGTACACTTTGTTTCAGTCAGACTACTTGTGGGCTAAAGAACTACGTATCAGGAGTGATCTGCCCTCCTCAGAGTTAGTTCCATAGCTCCCACTGACTTCAGTGACAGAGTATCAAGCCTGTAACAAGTAATGACGAATGAACTTGGACCCTTTTATGTTCACAGATTGACAATATCCCTAGTATTCTTGCACATTTGGGGCTAGATTTTCAGTCTGGATGTTATTTCCATGCTATCTTTTCCCATGAATTTATTTCTGACCCAAGATTTTCTGATAATGGGTATAACTTAACTAAGTTTCAACAGACAAAAATGTTTATTCGTGTAAGAATGCTGTGTTCCAAAAGCCGAAGTACAGATTACTAACCTGCAGAAATTCAAGCCTATTCATTCAACTAATATAACTGGTTAATTATTGAAATTCTTGGTCGAAATAGTTAACTGCCCCAAGGCAGTAGAACAGCTATCTTTTATCAGCAACAAGCTAGCCATAGTGGTTTTTTTTGTTTTAAATGAGATGCATCAAGGTCACACATCTGGAGTGCTGGAGGAGTTAGACTGGCAATTTCAAAGCTCTTTTGTTCATGAAGTCTCATCTTCAAAGCAGAGCCCTGTGTAAATCATGAAGAAAGTTACTGTCTATCGCCATAAAAGATAACTTCCAACAACTGCTACAGATGAAGTGAATGCTTATTCAAAATCTAAATGCTAACCAAATGCACACTGAATTCAAGTATAATATATATGTACTGTGTATTACTTAGAAATTAAATGTAATTTTGATTTAGATTGGAGACTTTCATGAGCATATAAACAAGAACATTTTAATAAAAATACTACACAAAATACATTTTAATAATAATACTACATAAAAACACATGGCAACCACTGATCCACAAGAAGTCTGTGTGACCATCCTACCAAAACCTTCAGTGTGTCCACCTAGGCAAGAATATGGAGGAATTGAGGCTGCCCTTGACCTACCTTCCTTCTTTTAGACCCTGAGACAAAGTCCAAAGGCCAGGCTGAGTCCAGACATTCGGTGCCTTGATGGTTGTAGCTTCTGCCAGACAGCAACAGATTAGAGCTGCTGCTGACTGCCTCATGCCTCAGCAAGGACATATTTCTGCCTGGGTGATGTCCCTTAGCTGTTCTCCAACCAAGGAGTACCCACAAGACAGTGTGGGGCTAGAGTTTTGAGGCACCCTATACTCACCTTACTTTCGGGATTGCAATATTGTGGTATTTGATAGGAACTCCCCCACCACAAGTTGCACCACCACATTGCCACCTATCCATCCAGTTGGATACTCAGTACATGATAAGGCCAGAAGGTTCTGGACAGTTGAAAGTTGTGACACACAGGGACCTAGTTTAATTTCTTTGAGCCCAGTTTGATTTAGGTTATATAACTGTTTGGAGCCAAAAAGGTGATTGTCACCTCTCTGAGAGGTCAGAATTTAATTGAGAATATAATTGGGTGAGAGCTGAATGCTTGATGATTGGATAGAATCAATAACTGATGTGACCTCTGAGTGGGTGATTGGCTTCAAAAGTGGTGACCTTGGGGGTATAAGAGAGCTTAGACCCAGAGTTGGGGGGGGGTGGGGTGGGGTGGGGGGGGTGTCTGTCTGTGTGGGTTCAGGTCTCTGTGTGGACTGTGATTTTGGTATGTGTGTGCATGGCTAACTTAGTGACTGAGGGACGGCTTGTTGCAATTGAGTTCTGAATTGATGCCAAAAGTTCCTCAAGCTCACAACCAAGCACCTCAGGAAACATTTCAGTTGAGTACTGGTTCCCTCTGGATCAGGCCTTTTCCAAAGGATCTGCTAGTAGGCCAGGGTAACATGTCACCAGGGATCCTGGTTTTCTCCGACTAAAAAAAAA